AAAAAAAAAAAAAAAAAAAAAAAAAAGGCCCTACACTTTCCAGCTCCTGCCAGGCAGGAGGGGCGATCCCCACTGCCCTGCGCACGTGAGGGGAGGGGGGATGCTCTACCACAAGCTCCCAGAAGCCCTGACAACTGCTGCAGAAGCTGGTGAGTGCGGGGCTTTTTTTTTTTTAAATGCCAGGATGCTGGGGCTGGGCAAGGCAGCCACTGATGTGGCTGGGAGAGTGGGCTGGGGTCGCGGGGCACTCAGGAGGGGGTGGGGCCTGGCAGGGTTCCTACCCCCGCCCCCCCCTTACCATCATGGAGCCTGGGTCCAGTTCTCTGCAGCGGCAAGCAGGGACTGCCCGAGTCTCCAAATCTTCTCCGAATCTTTTCCAAATTTGATTTGGAGGCTTCGAATCAATTAAGACCTTTTTAATTGGTCTCCTGACTTTGATTCGGATTCAGAGATTCGGCCACCGAATCAGGCTGAATCTCCTCCGAATGAATCGACAACCAAAGCTTTGCACAGCCCTAGTACCATGTGTTGGGTATCCAGGTTGTAGCCATATTGGCCTAAAGATAAAAGAATATGATATAGTAGATGTTCTGTTTTTTTTTAGTGTGGGTTCAGGGAACCTTACAGGTCCATAGGATAAAACAGGAGAAATCTCACCCATCCTTCTTTGTTGTCAATATAATCAGCGGTCTTTGTGACATCAAGTTCACTTAGGTGGACTTCTGTCTCCACCAACTCAGGCTGCCTCAGCCCTTTTACTTCCCATTTCTTGTTTCTCAGAATAAGCGCACCTTCTGTGATGCAATAAAGTTAATATATACAACTGAATGTGAAATATAATGGAGCTTCACTTGAAACAGATAATTGCATTTAAAACCTTTCTGTGTTTGGCTCCACTCAAAAAAAAAATCACAAACTTGTGCTAATTAGACTTTTCTCTATGCAAGGTTGAAATTTATTTTACTTCACATAGAGGGAATTTCCTCTTTTGACTGTGGTGTTTCTCCATGCTAATGCTGATGCTCAGTTACAACAAAAGCTTCTAAATTATACTGTCCTGTAAATTAACACACTTCTTACTGAAAAGTAAAGTTAACGATCTCTGCTGGGGCATATTCCATTTCTTCCTCACTTGACTTTAAAACTAACCAACACTAGCTTTGGTTGAACTGCTATAGATTTCTCCTTTGTATTCAAACTGCTCTAGTTGTCATAATTTTTTAATTATTCAACCTACATAGGTTAGCTTGCAACCACAATTTTGGAGGCAATGCGTCTTAAATCCAAAACTGCTTTAGAAAAATAATTTGATTTTAATGTTCCCTGTAGAAAATTGAAATTTAGCAGGAATAATGGTACCATTTACAAGGGAAGAGCTCTAACTGTGGTCAATAATAATGCAAATAATTTGATTTAATAACAAAATAAAACACGGTGTGAAATGGTGTTTTGCAACAGTATAGGGTTGTTTTGGTCCATATATATAGACTTGATCAGAAGATACCTCTTACTAGCCTGTTCAGCTAGTGTGTTTTGTAATACAGTATGTATTTACCAAGATCAGTGTAATCAGAAGAACGTTTAATTAGTACTAGTTTCATGACTGGCGTTACTTGTTGCAAAATAATCATTGGTAGATAATAAGGTATTTATATAAAGCAATCTGAATTACTTTGCAAGCTGTGAGCCTATTTGAACAATTTTTTTGATAAAATGCAATTCAAGGCCTGGGCCCTAGGCAAAGGACATCTAGGAACAAAAAATGCTACCTGTTCCCAGGAAAGTGGGGGACTGTATACTGAATGACAGTGCCGAAAATAATTTAGGCATCACAGCAGACGAGCAATTTGGCAAGAGCTTTCAGTGTGGAGCTGTGGGGGGAAAAAGGGCTAATGTAATCCTTGGATATAGACAGAGGAGTAGTGAGTATTGAGGTAACTTTATATGATTTTGAGATTGGTATTGGAATACTGAGATTAATTCTGGTGTAAACATTTTCAAAAGGATGTTGCAAAACTGAAGATCCCATGACAGAACCATGGCAATATTTTATGGCAAAAGACTTATTTCTATGATTTGTCAGGTTTTTTTATGTGCTGTAGAGCAGGAATGGGACCTCAAGGTCATCTAGTTTATCTGCCTCTTCTGAGATGGGGAAAATATCTAGGCTTCTAACGGATGTTTATCTAACTTTTTCTTAAGTACCTCCTTCACTGGGAGGTTTTTCTTTGAACCCTTCTTTACCCTCTGAGACTTCTCCCCTCCCTGCCCCCAAGAAAAGACAAAGCAATAAACAGAAAAGCAGCCTTCCTGAGTTCTCAAAGACCATCTCCACTGATTTAGAGATTGATTTAGATATACAAACTCAAGGCTCAATTTCATCAGTCCCTACCAACTAAAATTATATCTAACTTGGCTGAAGGAAAAAGTTTAAAGAATATTTATCTGGTCACAACATTTTTGTGAAGACTGATGGGAGGAAGGCATTGAATATCTTTTTCTGTCTTCCGTTATTTGTTCTGTCTCTCTGCTGAGTAACAGACCTGTATTTTCCTTTTGTCTTCCTCTTACTTAGTGTCTTGCCATATTGCCTACATGTCCATTGCTTGAAAACTGAGAGGTGACTGGATTAGTGTTTAAATGTATTAATAGCAATAAAATACTAGGTAGTAAGGAGCACTTTACATGAGCCTTGAGAGTTTTAGATTAAAAAACGAAAGCCATTAGATCATCTAGTCTTAGCTTCTGTTTAACACAAGCCAAAGAATTTCACCCCTTATCCCTATACTAAGCCAAATAATGTGGTGACACAAATAATGCGACACCTCTGCCGGAGAGATGAGAGATGAATGCTAGTCCTCAAATCAGGACTTGGAGAATCAACTTCCCTTGGTAATTTCAATGGTTAAAATCACCCACATTGATAAAAAATTCTAATCTCAATTTGCCTGGCTTCCATTGCCAGCCATTGGTTCCAGTTAGGCTTTTCTTTACTAGATTAAAAGTCTGGTCACATCTAGTTCACAGAACAGAGCATTTGCCTTTACCAGTGAGACATTAAAACGAACTGTGCCCTTCTTGGCGTTGGATGGCCTGTGGCACATGTCACAAGTGGCATGGGCAGCCTTTAGAGGTGTACTGATATATTGGTTGTGTATCGGATTGGCACCAATAACAAGAAAATTAGCATCACTAGCAAATGAGGTTTTTTTGGCCAATTTTAATGCCACCAATAAATGCATGCGGCAGCTGGGAACACAGCTTGGAGAGCAGCCTCCCCTGCCCCACTCCCTCCTCACCTTGGGGCCCTTGATCTGCCCCCCCCCCATGGCATGCCTGCTAGAAAGGTCGGGCCCCACTGGTGTAAAGGATGTTTTTCAAGCAGCACTTTATTTGTAAGATTACCATCCTTGTAAATGTCACTATGTCATATCCATCTGTAAGTTTTAAGCCTTAAGAGAAGCCTTAAGAGAATTTTTGGATTTTTGTATGTATGTGAATATTCTGCAAGTGTTACCAGATGCTGGTGTGGTATGATCTTATCCACCTAATGGACTAAGTTCCTGTAAATGTTGTGTTTTTGTTTTTAAAGTACACATCTAATTTCAAATACAATCCACAAGCTCTATGATATGCCAAAAATATCTATACTGGGTTAAACTTTGTACAAGTTGCAATAAAACCCTTTCCTAAACTTGACTCTGGCATGCTAGTTTTCATTTTGTGAGTAAATTTTGGAGTAGACTTGTGACTCCTGCATAAGTGCGTAGTTGAAAAGGTGATACACCTATATTTAAAACAGTGTGCCCCTCTTCAGTAAAGCCTTCAGTCCCTCCTGCTGTGGGATCTTTTAGTTAAGCTAATGTTTTGCTCAGTCCGAAATTTTTAGAACTCTGAAAGTCACTGAGGTGAGAAGGACTTTCCTTTGCATGCTTTGAAACAACATGATGTTAATGGTTTGTACAAAGATTTGTTTTGACGTTCATTACCTGCTGCATAAAGAACAGCAGTCAGTTGCAAAAGTGTTTTTGGTCTGTGGTAATTTTATGCAGAGGCAATCAAAAAGCATTGTTCCATGTGAAGTATTATTTAGCTGTCCAAATGCTTTATTTCCTAGGTGACTTATTAAGTAGCCTGTTGCAGAGTCCCAGTGTGGCCAAATTATTGAACCAGCCAATCCCTATCCTTGACACTGAGAGTGAATATATTTGTTCTCTGGCACTGGAATGCCTGGCCCACCTCTTCAGCTGGATCCCTCTGTCTACCAGTATCACCCCTTCACTCCTTACCACCATATTCCATTTTGCCCGCTTTGGCTGCGATACCCGAACCAGGAAGATGACCTCTGTCAATGGCAGCAGCCAGAACTCTGTATTGGGCCAGGAACGTGGCAGGCTTGGAGTCTTGGCTATGTCTTGCATCAATGAACTGATGTCAAAAAACTGTGTGCCTATGGAGTTTGAAGAGTATTTGCTGCGGATGTTCCAGCAGACTTTCTACCTCCTGCAGAAGATTACCAAGGAGAATAATGCCCACACAGTGAAGAGCCGGCTGGAGGAACTGGATGAAAGGTAAGAGAAAGGCGCACAGCTGAAGAGCTGTGGTAAGGTGTTTTACTTGCTAAAAGACTTGTCTTAATTAATTTGCTGTCATGCATGGTGTGTCTAATCACCTTTTTTTCAGAGCTCTGTGCTGCTGATGGAGAACAGGAAGGTAGGTGTTCTCAGGTAAGATTGGTGTTAGGGGGTTGTTTGCTGAGTGACTGTTTGGTGGTGCAGGCTTGTGTTCTTTCCTGTCCTCTTCCTCCCTGTTCCCCCGGTTCGTTACTGTTTGACTGCAGGTCTGAGGTGGCACAAGAGCTGAACCTGCCCTTCATTCAGTTGTAACAGAGCAACAGAAGAGGCACAGTGATGTAAAGGAGTTGCAACCTTCCCTTCTGGTTGGTATCTGCCATTTGTGTGTTTCAAGTCCAGGCTCAAAGGAGTAGGTGGCATGCTTCCAAATCATGGCCCTGAAGGGAATGAAAGCTTCTTAGTTCAGTACCTGGCACTGATATGGGAAAGTCACCTTTTCTTTTTCATTTTTCTTTTGTGATCAGTCTCTTAAGGTTTTTGGAAAGCTATGATAGCAACCTTGGAAAAGGAGTCCTGGATGCAAAGCTAGCAAATGAATGAAGTAGCAATAATTTGTATCCCTTAAGGGCGAGGCACAAGCAGCAATCCCTTGGGAAGCTTTTAATTTTTTTATCACTGCCAGAAGGATACCAGTACATTTGGTACCTGAGCTAATTTATGAATCTCTTGACATTGGATACAGGAGGAAAAGTCAGAAATTCTCACCTGTCATGCTGAATGGTTGAACCTTCAATGTGTTGTGTGCTAGACCATGCTATGTGAACTATTGATGTTGCTTTCCATTACAGCCCTGCTGTATGTGTTAGCTTTGAGAATCAGGCTTTCGACCAACACTGATGTTGGCAAGATACATTTTCTGATTATGTAAGTCTGGTTATGTGGATGTGCCCAAAGACTTGCTATGAATGAGTGTTAATAGAAGTGAATGAGCACAGCAGTGCACCATAAAACTTCTGGTAAATCCTTGTTCTTATTCCAAGCCATGGCATCCAATTTTTGTATCACAGAAATACTTCTACTTTATAATATCAATATGATTTAAGTCTTGTTTAGCAACAAAATTTAGGTTGGCATATAATAGAGGTCAATTGAATGTTTCTCGCTTCTCTGAAATCCTTAACT